GAAGTTTGGCTCTCATGGGAACTCCACATTTGTTCTCGAGACGCCTAAAGTTGCTTTGCAGCTTTTTATACGGATGAGGCTGCAAACTACCTCCAGATGGCGCCAATATCGTTCCTATCTATCAGGGCCACATTGGCAAATTTCCGTGTGGAGAGGATAGGAGTAGATTGAATGTATTGGACTTCAAAAAATTAAAAAATGAGGTATTAATTATTGTGGTTTTAAACTCAAGCAATAGGTAGCATAAAAGAGGGGATTATAAAACACATGATGAAAATAAATGTTCTTAATTAGAATGTGATGATTTTTTGAACATGAGTATGAAGTGCTTTTAAACTCAAGCAATAGGTAGCATAAGAAGGAGGGAACAATCGGAACAGGAGAGAGGAAGGTGGAGGATTATTGGGAGCATGAAGGGCCAAGTAAGAACGAAAGAAGACGTCCCATACTCAATAGCTGGTGCACTGTGAGCGCTTGGATGACCTGAACGGATAAGATTTTAAGATATTGAAAACAGACGTTGAGTCGTGAGAGAATGAAAGAGAAAAGGGGAATATCTGCAATAATTTGCCAACCACCATGATCACGACTTTAAAATCAGAAAATAAGTTATTTTTTTGCAGAAAATAAAATAAGTTACTTTTAACCAAAATGGCAAAAAGTCTGACTTTAGTCAGATTTTATACTAAATTATACCCCTCCGGTTCTCAATATAAGACCCATTTAATTAATTTGATTATATTAAAGAAGTTAGGTAAGTTAGTTAATTATAAGAAAAGTGACACATTTTTTCTAAAACATCATAATCATCTTTCTTAATACCCCATCTCTCTTCTACTTGATTATGGTTGAGGAAGTATCTATAGGGATAATCTAGAAAAAATTGATAAATATGAGAAATATGTCTTATATTTAGAACCAAAACCAACTTAAGAATTGAGTCCTATATTAAGGACAGGAGGAGTATGAAATATAATTTAAGTTATATGACCACGTTATATTAAATATCATATAATAATATAAGTTAGATTTTTCAAGGCCCCAAGCCATTTACAAATAAAATAGTTCTATAGCATTAACAACTAATATATATTAATTAATATCTATATCAACAACTTTTTGGGGGCCGGTGACAAGTCATTGACCACTATAACACTAGTTGAGCTTTTGAGCTTGAGGTTGAGGTATATATTGGTTGTCAATGATATTATCAAAATAGTCATAATTTCATAATTTCATAATTAGATTCTTTTACGCGTAGTAAAAATAAAGGCATAATTTTATTTGTTTCTCTTTATTCCTCTTCACTTTGTTTTTAACCTAACCACATCATTTGCCTTGCCATCAATGCTCTTCTCACTCACTGATCTGTGCATGCTGCCATCCTTACCCACCCTTCTGCATTAGTTCTCTTCTCTCTCTTTTCATTTTTCTCTTCGTCCGATTCCTGCCAAATGGTGAGTTCAAGGTCTCGTCTCCCGAGTTTGTGTGGTGTGCTCTAATTTCTAGTTGCCAGATCTCTAGTTGTCGAATCTTCGCTGCTTGCTGATGGTCACTTTGTTTGCCCGGCAAACCTTCTTCTTCTTCTTTCCTTACACTTATTTGTAGTTTAATGTTTGTACTACCTAAATATTAAGATATATAAGACTTGTTAAACGCTATAAAAAGAAAATGAGCATGTGGATTTATTTTGTATTGGTTGGGCTGTTTTGATTTTGGACTAAAGATCCAGATTTTGTTTGTCTAAAATTTGATTTTTTGAAGCCGGACTATATTCTTTCCAAAAAATTAAAAAAACCGGATTGTATGGAGTCCTAATCTAAACGTTAAAATAATAGTATTTAATATGTAAAACTGTACATTTATAGTTATAAATATTTAGTGTACATTCTTTCATGGAAAAAAAAGAGGAAAAATATGACAAAAACATGTTTTTAGAATTACTAAATTACGTTACACCAAAAAAAAGAATTACTATGGACTTGTTTGGTTTCTTATTTTGAAAACAATTTTTTATTTTTAAGAGCAAAAAACCAACCAACGAGGATTGGGTCTAAAGAAAGGGGCTAGTCCCTCACAACGTAATGAACCAAGATTCGAATCTCTGCTGGGAGATGTGTCTACATTTAATACTTGACAGTGTCTCAAATAGGATTGCCTCTAATAGGAGGATATCTATGCTTTAGCAAAAAAGAAGCAGAACACCAAAAAAAGTTGTTTGGTAATTTTTTTTAGTTGATTGTTTTTAAAAACAAAAAATAGTAACATGTTTTTAAAACTTAAAAAACCAAAACAACTTTTATATATTTTCTTGTTTTTATTTTTATATTTTTTATTTTAAAAAAATTTGAGAAATCTTCTTATCTTCTCACTTACTATCCATTATCTATTACTATCAACAATAACTATCACCTATCAAGTGTGATTTTTTATGATTTTTTTTTCAAACATAATTTTCTAAAATTATTATCCAAACAAATTCTTTTGTTTTTTTGTTTTCAAAACTTGTTCTAAAAAATAATTTTACAAAATTGTTTTGAGAACCAAAAAAATTCCCAGGAACTAATTTCTTATATTTTTTTATAATCTCCTTAATTTTTACTAAAATTTTTTATAATCTTATTTGCAACGAAACTTATGAAAATGAAATCAATATTATTTATTATTAATTCAAAATATCTCAGAATGAAATTATTTGTTTAATTTTATTTCACATATATATTATAATATATTTAAGTTTAAGATATCTATTTTAATTGATTTCAATAAATACAAATAAAATTTTTTATAAATATTTTTGTTCATTTTTAAAATACTAAATAATTAAATAAATGACATATTTCTTTTTATTTCTCATCAAAACAACACATTTTCTTGATGGGTTGCTTCTGACGGCACACTTGTATTTAATGTCATACCAGGAGGAGTTCGAGTTGGCCAACACAAACGCTTTGCTTGCGACTTTTAAATTTGTTGTGATAGTTTTTTTTTTAATCTGGTTTTTTTGAATAATTTATGATAGTTTTTTTTTCCATATAAGTTGTTTGTCCCCTTCCAGAATGACTCCTAAGAAGAAGAAAATCACAGTTTTCTGTTGGTATTGCATTCGAAAAATTGGTCAAACTCAAGCCGTGTTCGGAGTTGGAAATTGATGCAGATGTAGGATAAAAATTTTTGAAAGTTTTTCTTAATGATTAGATCCAAACAAAACGTGATTCAGTTTCTCAAAAATTATGGCAGTTTCTCAAATTCCTCACAGATATATAGACTATATCTTTTATGTTTTGATTTATGGGTAATTCATAAATTCAAAAATTGGCTTGTACTGTTATTGTGTGACCTAGGGGTCTGTTTGGGTCAGCGTTTGCTGACCCAAAAGCAGCTTAAATTTTAAAATAAGCTGAGTTGAGATAAGGGGACCTGTTTGGTAGAGCTTGGAGCTGATTGGGCTTATTCCATTTTAAGCTATCTCACCGCCCAATTGAAATAAGCTCCTGGAAGGAGCTTATCGTGCCCTTAGAAGAGCTTAATTTTAGTCGTTCTGCAATGTGAGAGATTCCTTTCTTTTTTTCTCTCCCATCTGCCTTTTCCCTCGAGCTCAGTCACTTCCTTTCTTTTTCACCCAAAACTCCCACCCTTGCTTTGTCGCTGGTCGCCCGCAGAAGGTCCCTCCCTAGTCATCGTGAACTCTGCTTTGTCATCTTCGTGAGCTTAGCATGGTGGGTGTGAGGTGTGCGTGGCCTGCTGGAGGCTGCTCCTTCCTCGCAAGTCTGAGCTGGTCCCGCCGTCTATAATCGAGGTCGTCGTGGTTTGCCTGTGCGTGGAGATCTTGCCTTGCCAGTCTGATACACCGTGGGATCTACCTCTGGCAGCCTTTGGTTGGTTTGATCTGTTACAGGTTGGGTGATAATTTTTTTCCTTTCTTTTCTGGTTTGATCCTGTAGTTGAATTTACTGTCGCCGGTGGAAGCCTTAAAATTAAAGCTTGAAAATTGGTGCTAGTTGCCGGTGGTTGTTCTTTTTTTTTTTTTGTCCTTTTGGTTTTCGTGGTCCTTTGTTTTTGCTGGTTGGTGTTTTTTTTTCCTTCTGGTTTTTGTGGTCGTCTGCCTCTGCTCGTTGGTGGTTTGATTTTTTTTCTCCCCCCTTTCGTGGTTTTCATCATCTTGTTCGAGCTATTGAGGTGAATTAACGGCTGTCTGTTGGAGCAATGGATCTGCGTAGAGCTTGTGATGATCATTCTGGATATGTGATTGTGTATACGTGCATATGAGCTTGTGTATATGTGTATATGGGATTGTGTTACCCTAATCATTTGGTTGCAATGCTAGTGGAATTTTGAAAGAAAAATGCACAAAAAATTAATGGTTTCCATTGGTGTAAATCCAATAACCTTAATTTGCAATTTCATATGAAAAAGACTTTCCTATTAGTAGCAAATGCTTATTCATTAAGCAGGGAAAATTTTTTGTCAAAATTAAAAAGGCTTGTTGTTCCTAATATATTAATTTTTATGACTTCAGTGGTTTTATGTGAACACCTTGTATAGACTGGAGAAAGTAATTTTAAAACTATTGTTTTGTCCCTTTAATTAAGTTTTTGATAGCGCAATTAACTACTAAATTGTTTTTCCTAATTAAGTTTCTATTAAAATATGGCATCTCCAATTCAAAGATGAACAATTGCTTTTCAAACAATAAGAAAAATAATTGATAAATTCAGTTTTGAAAAAATTTTCACAACCAATTACCACTGATTAAATATTTATAATTTAAAAATTTTTTGAATAAGAAAACTAAACAGCTTTTGCAATTACAATGTCTCAATTAATATTTTACGACTTCATAATAATAATCGGAGTTTTGATAACAAAAACATTTACAATAATATTCAGAAAATAATATATGTGTTTGTTTAGTGATTACATAATATGGCTTTTATTATTACATATTTAGCGTTTTGGTTGATTCAGTTAGTGTTCTCTCCATCAAAAGGCGTAGAGAAATGGATAATGATAAGGGAAAAGCGACATGGGATCCTTACACGACAAAGATTCTAATCGATGTTTGTACCGAGCAAATAGTGCACAAGAAACGACAAGGAACATCGTTTACAAGGCCCGGTTGGGGGAAAATTGAAAAGAACTTTCAGAAAAGGAGCGGGAGAAAGTATGACAGGAGGCAATTGAAGAATAGATTTGATATATTGAGAAAAGATTGGAAGTTGTGGGATAACCTGATGTTTAGAGAGACTAGAATTGGTTATGGTACAGCCACAAATAGGGTGTTGGCCTTCGATGAGTGGTGGCAACAAAAATTGCTGGTAACTATTTGCGTTGGTTGAGTTTTAATTTTGAATATCCATTAAAACTTTGCTTAATTATCCCTGATTATGTTAATGTAATGCAGGTGGACCCTAATTTCAAGAAATTTAGACATCAGGGTTGATGTTTGCATCAGATATGTAGAAAATATTCAAAGATGTTGTGGCTTCGAAAGACTATATGTACGCACCATCAACCTCACAGCCCCAGTCGGTACCTGTGACACAAGTTGACACAGAAGAAGAGGATGATGTTTATAGAGTCGGCCTGGACCAATAGGAAGGGTCAGGGGACAGTGAGGATGAAAATTTTGGTGTTGACCTAACAACCAGTGCAGGGTTCATAGATGACTTTGCCGAAGTTAAACAACCCCGCAAATACTAGACCAAGTGGCTCACGAAGCTACGGAAAGAGGAAGAGGGGTGAGATGTCTGATGCAAAGAAGAAGAGAAAAGTTGTTGTGTCTACTAAAATTTCTGATAGCCTTAATGTTATAGTAGCTGCTTTTAACAAGTGAGCAGCAACATTGGTTGAAGATCCCTAACTAGTTGACAAGGTTTTGGCACACCTGACTACCGTTGAGGAGCTTAATGGTAACAATCAACTATATTATGCGTGTGCCAAGATGCTTACGCGGTTGAGGTGGGCTAGGCGAGCCTATTTAGGGTTTATGCATGATAGAAGCAGGTTGTTGGCATGGTTAAGACCGGTAGCACATGACCTAGACACATGGAAGGGACTTGTACATTAGAACTTAGTTTAGGACTTAGTTGTTTCATTGTTGTTACTGCACTTGCTAACTTGAACTAATTGCTGTTTGAACTTGAACTGATGTGACTTGTTGTAGGAACTTTATTAATGACTATGTAATATATTTATGCTAATTTCTACTTGTTATCTATGTGTTTGGTTTTTCTGTTTGCAGTATGAAAATTATTTACACTTTGTTTAGTATAGTCCTTATAATGCTTACACTTTGTTGTCATCATAGTCACATGGTTAACTCCAAAAATGGCTAATTGGAATATTGATTCACCATGGAATGAAGATACTTTGAGGAATTGGACTAACGATTCACAATGGAATGAAGATGACCATTCAAGATGTTATCCATGATTAATGGGGAATTAACACAATATGAAGTAGTAAGTACATTGGTTGGTCATTACTGTGAAATGATATGTTTAAACAAGCCTGCAGAACTAGTGAGTAGATAGGAAATTTATGGGTCCAAGGCATTATGAATGGGCATAATGATCGATGTCCTGAAATGTTTAGAGTGGATAAACATGTTTTCCACCTCTTATGTACTAAATTGGAGGAATATGGTTTACAAAAATCTAAGTACATAGGAATTAAAGAAATGGTCGCGATGTTTTTAAATACGGTTGCACATGGACAATGCAATTGGATGATCTAGAAACAATTTCAACGTTCAGGGGAAACTATAAGTAGGCACTTTCACAATGTACTGCAAGCTTGCATTAGCCTATTGAGTGAACTTATTCGACCTGTAGATCCTACATTTCGTGGAACTCATAGAAAAATTGAGAATGATCTAGGTTATTAACCATTTTTTAAGGACACAATCAGAGTAATTGATGGCACTCACATACCGTGTGTTGTCCCCGCTGCAAAACAAGATAAATTTATTGGCAGAAAGGGAAATCCATCACAAAATGTCATGGTTGTATGTGATTGAGATATGTGTTTCACTTTTGTCTTGGCTGGATGGGAGGGATCTGCACATGATGCTCATATATTTGACAGTACTATTACAAATTCATCTCTAAATTTCCCTCATCCACCTCCAAATATATGTTTATGGCATCTCCAATCACGCACATTTTTTAATTATTTCATATTTTTATTCATTTCACAATGTCTTAAATTGTTTCATGAATCATTAGGGAAATATTACTTGGTTGATGCAGATTATCCAACATCAAATGGATATCTCGGTCCATATAGATCTAAGCACTGCCACCTTCTGGACTTCTGATGACAAGTAGGATTCCAAAATAGTAACGAAACCTTCAATTATTATCATTCCAGTTTAAGGTGCATAATAGAAAGAACATTTGGTGTTTGGAAGAATAGATTTCAAATCCTACGAAATATGCACAGTTACGACTTCCAAATACAAGTGTACCTGGTTTGTGCAACAATGGCCATTCATAACCTTATAAGGACACATTCAATTTTCAACAAGCTGAAAATGGTAATATAATTGGCGAACATGATTAGACTGAAGCTAGTCAACCATCATTTTCAAATGTTAATTCACAGTCTTCATCGCATATGAATTGTGTCCGTGATGCAATCAAAGACCAAATTATCCATAGCTTATCAATTAATTAATTATGTAATATTATTATTTCGTTTCACTTTGTCGCATTACTGCAAATTGGAGTTCAAAACATTTTTATCCATTCAAATTATGTTTCACTTTTATTTGCCTTATTTTTTTTCCATTTCATTTAATTCACTTAATCAATTTCACTTATTCATATTGAATTAATTTAAATTCATTGTCTTATGTCAATTCATTTTTATCATATTTCACTTTATATTTAAAATATTTTTTGTGATTTCTGTAAAGTTTTCAATTTTAATTCACTCATTAAATTTCACTTCTTCGTTATATTATCTCAATTCTTTTTTTTTCATATTTCACTTTATATTTAAAATATTTTTTATGATTTCTTAAAATTTTAAAATTTAATTCATTCATTAAATTTGATTTCTTCATATTAAATTATTTTAATTTCATTGTATTATGTGAAATCAATTTTTTATCATGTTTCATTATTTATTAAAACTCATACCCATTTTAGTAATTTTTCAGCCAAACTCATTTTTACTCAACTATAATCCAAACAAGCTTTTACCAATCTTACTTTTGCAAACTAACTTTTCTGAACTCCAATCCAAACATAATTCAACTTATCCAATTTAAATTTTACCAACTTCACTTTTCCATAAGCTACTTTTCCTATAAGCTGCTTTTCCAATCGCTGATTCAAACGAGCACTTGACCTTGGTTTTCCTTGCTTTTTGGAGTAAGTGGTTTTTCTACTGTGAATTAGAGGTACACATTAAGATTACCAAAATCTTTTCAATATTTTGAAATAATATTGGAAAAGATCATAAAAAAAAAGACCTATAATTTGAATTAACCAAATTGCCAGACCAAAATGCTCTTCTTCTCTCTTTTCCCTCATCCCATCTCCTTTTTCTTCCAATCCAAAAGCTCTCAACCATTGTCCTTTTCTCTCACACACAGTACACACACACACACACACACACACACTATAGTGTAACTTAGATATAATTACGTAAGTGAGAGCTCTTTGATTGCTTTTTTGGGGGGGATGCATATATGTAGATAGTCATTGATGGCTGGAAGGCAGGAACTTCTTGCACACCAACATGCACAATAATAGGAAGAAAGAAGAAAGCCAGGAGAGGAAAGCAAAAGAGGCGATGGTGATGATGAATAATAATGTAGAGGAGACGGCACAATTAAAACAGCACGTGTTGATACTATCCACTCTTTTGCTTTTTTCAAAACATGTATAAAGAGTTTTCCAAAAACTTGTATGCATGAAACTCCCTCAATTATCCTAACCTCTAACAGAACACCGCGTTAGCTTATATGCTCAATCCCTCTAAGTTGACTGAAAAAGATAAGTATGGGGAGGGGCCACACTAGCAATAAAAGGTAGATTTTTGTTTGTTTTGTTTCCTCTTTTGGAATCCTTTGCTTGCTGTATATGCCCGAGTCTTGCATTGGGATAATGCGAGGTTAAAGTATGTTTTCAAAAATTCAAAGAGTTGAAAACATCATATAAACAATTTATTAAATTTTTTTATAATTATAGGTATTTTTAATTGAAGGCCAAACGTCTTGGCTCATTTCTGGTGAGTTTCGTGGGGTATTCATGGTCCCGTGTCCTGTATGGCACATAACTGAGATCCTATCTTGTTTTTTTCCTTTTAATTTGAGAACTAAATGTTTAAAAACTTATAATAAAACCATATGAAGAAATGGGACAGGATACTGATATGAGTGAGTAAGAAAACATGCCCAAGACTAAAGTGGAAAACTTGATTCCATATAGAAAGTGGAGTGACTCCTTTTGTGAGAATATGAAACGCAATAACAAAATAGTTTGCTATTAACTACTTCATCCCCTCCCAATAAAATTCTTTCACAATATAAATACTATCTCTGGTCCTTAATATAAGATTTTGTTTGAATTTTATTTTGGTCCTAAATATTGCCTCCAATCCTAAATATAAGACCTTGTTTGACTTTATTTTGATCCTAAATATAAGGCCCCAATATACTTTGTCTCTCATATTTATGTATCCCTTTTCAAAGATAGTTCTTGTAACAATAGTAATTCTAGCTAATACACTTGATTAGTAAGGATATTTTAGGAAAAATAACACCTATTTATTACAAATAATTAACTTAACTTCTTTCTTTTATCTCCTCAAATTAGTTAACTAGCTCTTATAGTTAGGACTGAAGGTAGTATCACTACTACAGAGTGAGGAATACTTGACGCTAAATACTTGACGGTTATAACAACAAACCATCAAATATAGTATCTCAGGAGAAAAGTTGACGGTTTTAATAGGAACCGTCAAGTTTCATACAAAAATACTTGACCGTTTTTTAAAAACCGTCAAATTTTATTCCACAATACTTGACGGTTATATTATAACGTCAAGTACTTTTGAGGTAAACTTGACGGTTTCTCCTTAAACCGTCAAGTTTTCCAATACTTGACGGTTTTTAATTATAACCGTCAAGTATTATTCCAAGATACTTGACAGTTATTAAGAAAAACCGTCAAGTATTATCTTTTAAAACCTCCTTCTCTATTCATTTGCTCTGCCCAGTTCAAAATTTCTAATGCCTCCTTCTGCTCCGAACCCTCTAAACCACCATACCCACCTCATTTTTGGCCCTTCCCTTTTGTTTTTATTGATCGTCCTTGATAAGCCTCATTATTTGCATATATTTCTAGCCTTAAACTCATGCTTTTGCCATTTATACTTGCATATTTTGGGTATAATTAGTTTTCATTGTGCATAAGAGTTGGTGAAGGA